CAAAGCGGTGAGAGACGCAATCTCCCAGCCCTGGGCCTGGCAGCCCAAGCTTGGAAAACAATTAAGTGAGCTCAAAGCAGCAACAGCCAGGGCGGCCTACCTCCGCTCTCCAGGAGGCCCATTCCCCTCTGAGGCAGAGAATAAAGCCAAAACAGGAAGATCTTATGCCCAGTGCCTGTGAGCCTTGCTACTCAGGAGGCTGAGACCTGAGGATCACGGTTCAAAGCCAGCCCGGGCAGGAAAGACCGTGAAACTCTGATCTCCAATGAACCACCAGAAAACCAGAAGTGGTGCTGTGGCTCAAGTGGTAGAGCACTCGCCTTGAGCTGAAGAGCTGAGGGACAGTGCCCAGGCCCAGAGTTCAAGCCCCATGACTGACAAAAAAGAAAAAAGAAAGCCCTATGTCAACTAGACGTAGGAAGGAAGGAAAGTGAGTAGGAAAATGGGCCCTGAATTCCCAGTCTGTCTATCTAGCTAGAACCACTGAGCCACCTTCCCAGCCCCAAGCCCCAGCCTCTTGACTTAATTTCCCCCTGGAATCTTTCACATCCCCCTCTGTGGATAAGTCTGAAAGTTGTTGGAGAGGGTGCTGGGTTTATTTTTTAGGACTTCACGATCTCACAATTAGGGTGTCTCTCAACAGGAACACCGAGCAATCTGGACAGATGTGAACAGATGAATGCAGACCCCAAGTGACACGAACCGTGCCTGGTTCGGACCTCAGAACACCATACCAGTCCCGAGATGACACCCACGAAGCCGGGGGTGGAGACAAGGGAGAATTCCCTCTTGCACACAACAGGGAAACTGTATTCTGTCCACGCTGCACAAACTGCTGTCAACCCCAAGCTCCATGCAGCTTCCTGCTCAAGCTTTTGTTCAAAATAAGCAATCTATATGATTTAATTAGGTTAGGCCTCTGCTCCCTTCTGCTGCGAAAACTCAGTTTGTTCCCCTAGCAATGCATCTCTTCCAATGTGATTGCATTATGGGTGTCAAGAAGACATTTTCTGGGAAGGTGGCTTAGTAGTAGAGTGCTCGCCTAGCACGCGTGAAGCCCTGGGATCGATTCCTCAGTACCACATACACAGAAAAGGCTGGAAGGGGTGATGTGGCTCAAGTGGTAGGGTGGTAGCTTGGCCTTAGAGCAAAAGAAGCTCAGAGACAGTGCCCAGGCCCTAAGTTCAAGCCCCAGAACTGGCAAAAAAAAAAAAAGAGGTCTGAGAAGGTGGCTCAGTGGTAGAGCACTTGCCTTGCATGCTCGAGGCCCTAGGTTCGATTCCTCAGTACCACATAAGCAAAAAGAAAAAAGCCTGAAGTGGCGCTGTGGCTCAAGTGGTAGAGCGCTAGCCTTGAGCTGAAGAGCTGAGGGACAGCGCCCAGGCCCAGAGTTCAGGCCCCACAACCGGACCCTCCCCCCCCCCCCCCCAAAAAAAAAGTGCCTGTTGATCTTTCAAGAGTTCATGAAATAAAAAAACCACATGGGGAATTTGAAGTTGGAGGTGTTTCCATCTGACGCTCACTTTTTTTTTTTTTTTTTTTTGGGTCCGGTCGTGGGGCCTGAACTCTGGGCCTGGGCCCTGTCCCTAAGCTCTTCAGCTCAAGGCTAGCACTCTACCACTTGAGCCACAGCGCCACTTCCGGCTTTTTTCTTATGTGGTGCTGAGGAATCGAACCCAGGGCCTCAAGCATGCAAGACAAGTGCTCTACCACTGAGCCACCTTCCCAGCCCTCACTTTTTTGTGTGTGTGTGTGTGTGTGTGTGCCAGTCCTGGGGCTTGAACTCAGGGCCTGGGCGCTGTCCCTGAGCTTTTTTTGCTCAAGGCTAGCACTCTACCACTTGAGCCACAGCGCCACTTCTGGCTTTTTCTGCTTATGTGGTGCTGAGGAATCGAACCCTCATGCATGTGAGGCAAGCACTCTACCACTGAGCCACCTTCCCAGCCCCTGCACCCTGCAATTTTTATTTGCTAGCCCTGGCTTGAATGATGGGGTTTTAGATCTGTACCCCACCCTCCCAAAGAGAGAAGCTCTTTGTCTGTTCCACACAAGCGAGAATGCGGAAGGGTTTATAAGAGAGAAATCTGTGGGGCATTCAGACACAATTGGGGTGCTTCTTATGGAATGATCTGGCCGAGGAAGCACACAGAGATGTCTATTGTCCTGCTTTTGATGACACAGTGGATTCTTGGAAAAGCCTGGCGGCACACAAAGCTCAGATCTAAGGACGGTGGTAAAATGAATGTTACGGTCTGAACCCAGCACCGGTGCCTCATACCTGTAAGCCCAGTGACTCAGGAGGCTGAGATCCAGTAGTTCAAAGTCATCCAGGTAGAAAAAGCTATAAGAGTCCATCTCCAGTTCAATAACAAAAAGCTGGGCTTAGCTGGGCACCGGTGGCTCACGCCTGTCATCCTAGCTATTCAGGAGGCCGAGAGCTCAGGATGGAAGTTCAAAGCCAACAGGAAAGTGTGTGGGACTCTGATCTCCAACATAAGCAGCAGAAAGGCAGAAATGGAGCTATGGCTCAAGTGGGTAGAGGACTATCCTTGAGTGAAAAGAAAAAGCTAAGAGGCTGGGCACCAGTGGCTCACGCCTGGCCTACTGAGGAGGCTGAGATCTGAGGATTGAGGTTCAAAGCCAGCCTGGAGGAGGAAAGTCTGAGACTCTTACCTCTCAATAAACCACCAGAAAATTGGAAGTGGTGCTGTGGCTTAAGTGGTAGAGCGCTTGCCTTGAGCTGAAGAGCTGAGGGACAGCGCCCAAGCCCCGAGTTCACGCCCCATGGCCAACAACAACAACAAAAAAAGCTAAGAAACAGTCCAGACCCTGAGTTTAAACCCAAGTACCATCACACATGCATACAAAAAGCTGTCCTGGAAGCATGGCTCAAGTGGAAGAGCACTAGCCCTGAACAGTCCTGGGGCTTGAACTCAGGGCCTAGGCACTGTCCCTGAGCTGCTTTTTGCTCAAGGCTAGACTCTACCACTTGATCCACAGCACCGCTTCCTGCTTTTTCTGTGTAGGTGGTGCTGAGGAATCGAACCCAGGGCTTCATGCATGGAAAACGAGCACTCTACCACTGAGCCACCTTCCCAGCCCACAAGTTCAAATCTTGATACCAGGAAAACATAATTAAAAGGTAACAACAATACAGAAGCTGGCAAACATTATATAAATAGTAGCCATCTTACTGGAAGTTCACATCTTGATCTGGAATGGAGGCTAGAGGCTGGGGAAGTTGAGGCCTGTGGAAAGCAAACCCTTGTGGGCCTAGGAGCCTTTCTATGGTCCGTTCTGGAAGGAATGACAGTAACACCAGGCCAGCGTCATCCGGGCCACCTGTCCCTGGCTCCCACTGCCCGAGTGTAATTGGACCCGGATGTTGGAGAGGCGGCCTGACTTCAATAAAGCCAGGCTGAGCCAAGAGGCTAGCAGTGCCTTTGCTACCTGTTAATGAAGCCTCATTACACATGCCAGGAGCTGGCGCTGGGTGGGGAAGAGTGATTTAGTGCAGCTGCTTCTGCTGTTTCTGGGGGAAATCCAGAAAGAGCCTCCCTTCCCCCCTCCCTCTCCTTCCGCCGGCTCAGCTGGCTTTCCCCGGGGAACTGCAGATGGCAGAGTCCTTCAGGTCCAGGGCAACTTGCTTCTGTGTGTTGTGTGTGTCCGTCCTGGGGCTTGAACTCTGGGCCTGGGCGCTGTCCCTCAGCTCTTCAACTCAAGGCGAGCGCTCTACCACTTGAGCCACAGCGCCACTTCCGGTTTTCAGAGTGGTTTCTTGGAGATCAGGGTCTCATGGTCTTTCCTGCCCAGGCTGGCTTTGAACTGCGATCCTCAGATCTCAGCCTCCTGAGTAGCTAGGATGACAGGCAGGAGCCACTTCTGCCTGGAAAACCTTTCTCAGGGTGAAGCAGGTTTTGTTGTTCATGTTGCCTTGGCTATTTTAGCCTTCGAAAACTAAGGAGGGCCGGAGGCTGGCGGCTCACTCCTGTCATCATCCTAGCTACTCAGGAGCCTGAGATCCGAGGATAGTGGTTCAAAGCCAGCCCAGGCAGGAAGGTCCCTGAGACTCTTCATCTCCAATAAACCACTCAGAAAACTGGAAGTGGCGCTGTGGCTCAAGTGGTAGAGCGCTCGCCTTGAGCTGAAGAGCTGAGGGACAGAGCCCAGGCCCTGAGTTCAAGACCCATGATCGACAAAATAAATAAACTCCACTACTGAGAGACTGAATGAAAAAACATGTTGTCCACTCTGGATGCTGTAGCTATGTGTGACAGGTGGGCGGGGAGGAAGTAGGGGGAACGATGGCGTGGGGCTCTCTGTGTGGCTTTTGTGGCTCTGCGAGCTATGTGAAGATGCAGGTGCAGGGTTTCAGGTTGAATCAGAGGCAGAGTCCGGCCGGGAGAGGCGCAGGTTGCATTAACTATATATGTCTGTTCCCAGCACAGAGAGGGCTGGGGAGGGAGGATCTTAGAGGACCATGAGGAAGGCTGCAAGGTCCACCATCTTCATAAGCCCCCCTAGGGTCAAGCTGAAGTCCCCTTTGAACTGAACGAGAGGTGCTGTGTCAGGAGCAAGCTCTGTGTGTGTGTGTGTCTAGAATGCCCATCATTTTAATACAGAAAATCAAGTACTACATGTTGGGCACCGCTGGCTCACTCCTGCAATCCTAGCTCAGGAGGCTGAGATCTGAGGATTGCAGTTTGAAGCCAGCCAGGACAGGGAAGTCCATGAGACTCTGATCTCCAATGAACCACCAGAAAACCGGAAGTGACGCTGTGGCTCACATGGTAGAGTGCTCGCCTTGAGCTGAAGAGCTGAGGGACAGCGCCCAGGCCCAGAGTTCAAGCCCCACTACTGACACACACATACACACAAACCTCCCCTTCCCAAACCCAAACAAAAACAACCCCCAACAAAGACTCCATGAGCAAGGGCCGTTGCACACGAAGCATTTATTTGGAGAGGGATAAGGGTAGTTGCTCAAGCTGCAAACTACTTAAATGAAAGCCGGAAGACCCTCTCCAATTTCTAGCAGTTCTCTGGCCCAGCCGCATCTACTACGGGATCCAGTGGGGGCCAAAACTCTTTAGGCCCCGTCACTGGCTGGCTGGTGGGGAGAGGTTGCGAGGCCTTTTCTTGGGTGAAAAGAGGAAGTTTCTCGATTAGCTGGGAAGAAAGAAAAGGAGAGGAGGAAAGAAGGGGGGCAAAAGTGAGAAGCAGACGACTCATGAGAGAGAATTTGGGGGGCTTGGGGGACAGGAAGGAGAGCAGGAGGGAGGACGTGCAGTTACTCATCCAGGGGACACATTTTTTTTTTTTTTTTGTCAGTCTAGGGACTTGAACTCTGGGCCTGGGCGCTGTCCCTCAGTTCTTCAGCTCAAGGCGAGTGCTCTACCACTTGAGCCACAGCGCCACTTCTGGCTTTTTCTGCTTATGTGGTGCTGAGGAATCGAACCCAGGGCCCCATGCATGCAAGGCAAGCGCTCTACCACTGAGCCACCTTCCCAGCCCCTTTCCTCCCGTTACCCCCCCCCCCCCCGCCCCTCCCCGTACCTGCTCTCGTCCCGGTCCAGCAGGGCGTGGAAGGTCTCCAGGTCCCTCTGCAGCTGACCCCGGCTGGCCAGCAGATGCGCGCGCTGCTGCAGCTGCTGCTCGGCCTCGGCGCGGATCTCGCTGAGCTCGGCCTCCAGCCGGCCCACCACGGCGCCCAGGTTCTGCAGCTCCATCTCGTGCCAGTGCCTAGCGTCATGCAAGCTGTTCTCCAGGCCTCGTTTCTGCACAAAGGTGACAGGGTTCGCCAGTGGGATGACAGGCGTGTGCTCCCACGCCCGGCTTTTTATTGGTTGAGATGATGTCTCTAAACCTTTTGTGTCCTTTTTTTTTTTGGTTGGTCATGGGGCTTGAACTCTGGGCCTGGGCGCTGTCCCTCAGCTCTTCAGCTCAAGGTGATGGCTCTACTACTTGAGCCACAGTGCTACTTCCAGTTTGCTGGTGGTTCACTGGAGATAAGAGTCTCAGAGACTTTCCTGCCATCCTCAGATCTTAGCCTCCTGAGTAGCTAGGATGACAGGCATGAGCCACCAGCGCCGGGCTTCTGAACACTTTTAATCCAAGGTTGATTGAACCCATGGGTAGGGAGGGCTGACCTCAATTGCTTTAATGAATAATAATCAGCCATTGCAAAGCCACAAGCCGGAGGCTCACGCTGGCCAACCTAGCAACTCAGGAGGCTGAGACCTGAGGATCGCAGTTTGAAGTCATCCCAGGCAGGAAAAGTCCCCTAGACTCTTTTTTTGGGGGGGGGAGGGTCTCGTCCTGGGGCCTGAACTCTGGGCCTGAACACTGTCCCTCAGCTCTTCAGCTCAAGGCTAGCACTCTACTACTTGAGCCACAGCGCCACTTCCAGCTTTTTTAATTTTTTTAATTTTTTCTGTTTATGTGGTGCTGAGGAATGGAACCCAGGGCCTCAGGCATGCAAGGCAAGCGCTCTACCACTGAGCCACCTTCCCAGCCCTCCCCTAGACTCTTATTTCCAATTAACCACCAAAAAAAGCCAGGAGTGGGGCTGTGGCTCAAGTGGTAAAGCACCAGCCTTGAACAAAGAAAGCCCAGGGACAGCGCCCAGGCACCGATTTCAAGCCCAAGGACTGGCACAAAAATCCCACACTCCAACCGAATCATTGCAAGACAGCTGCATGCACACAACAAGACTTTGAAGAACTTACGGTGCATTTGCATTGTCCCAAAGCAGAGCTTGGGACAAGAATTCTAGAACATCTACAGGTTGATGGGTTGTGGTCAAGGCCGGGAGGGAGGGCAGGACAGGGAGGGGCCAGTGGTAAGGAGAGGGGGGGGTCTCCCTTGGAGCTGGCTGCAGCTAGATCCCACAGACAGCTGGGCAGGAAGTGGTTCCCGGGGGAGGAGCAAATGAGCTGAACTTGAAGCCCCTCATCTGCCAGCCATTGGGGCTAGGAGGCCTCTGTTGGGCTGCGTGTGATTTCCTGCAGAAGCAGTGAGACTTAAACAGGCAGCTGGGGGCTGGGAAGGTGGCTCAGTGGTAGAGCGCTTGCCTTGCATGCATGAGGCCCTGGGTTCGATTCCTTAGCACCACATAAGCAGAAAAAAGTGGGAAGTGGCATTATGGCTCAAGTGGTAGAGTGCTCGCCTTAAGCTGAAGAGCTGAGAGACAGCGCCCAGGCCCAGAGTTCAAGTCCCAGGACTGACCAAAAGCAACAATAAAAAACAGACAGCTGTCAGTGTTAGCAGCCAGGTTAAGCAGTAGGGTAGGACACTTGCTTTTTTTTTTTTGGTGGGTTGTGGGACTTGAACTCAGGGCCTGGGCGTTGTTCCTGAGCTCTTTTGCTCAAGGTTGGCGCTCTAACGCCTTGAGCCGCAGCACCACTTCCGATTTATGATTGGTTCATTGGAGAGGAGAATCTCACAGGGACTTTTCTGCCTGGGCTGGCTTTGATCTCAGCCTCCTGAGTTACTAGGATGACAGGCGAGAGCCACCAGTGATTGGCGGTACTTACTATTTCTATTCATTTTTCTTTCTCTCTTCCTTTCTCTCATTCTTTCTCTGTTCCTTTCTCTCTTTCTTTTTGTGTTGATTCTAGAGCTTGAACCCAGGACCTCGGCACCGTTCCTGAACTCTTTTTTTTCAAGTTGATCGTGGGGCTTGAACTCTGGGCCTGGGCGCTGTCCCTCAGCTCTTCAGCTCAAGGAGAGCGCTTTACCACTTGGGCCACAGCACTACCTCTAGTTTTCTGGTAGTTCATTGGAGATCAGAGTCTCACGGATTGTCCTGCCCAGGCTGGCTTTGAACTTCTGAGTAGCTAGGATGACAGGCATGAGCCACTGGTGCCCGGCAGTGACAAATGCTATGTGTCACTCTTACTTGCCATCACTCAGCATCAGAATGCCCCCGTCCTGTCCTGTGCAGTGGGAATCCTTTGCCGACCAGGCCCCGTGTGGATAGTTGTGAGGGTTAAACTCAGCACAAGCAATGCAGGGCTCTTCCTGGGTCACTCACCAGCGCCCGCAGGGACTCGGTCTCTGCCTGGAGACTCTGTACCTCGCAGGAGGCGTTGTGCAAATCCACCCTCAGTGCCGCCGCCAGCTTTTCTTCCTGGGTCTGGGATGCAAGGGCCACCTCGGCCTGTTGCTGTGGGACACCAGATCTTGGGGTGAGTGGGGAGTCCACCCTTCCCCTTCAGACCTTCCGACAGCTTTGAGCAGGAGGAGGCTTAGCTGTCAGATGAGCAAAACTGCATTTTTTGCTAATTCCAGGCCTTGAACTCAGGGCCTCAGCACTGTCTCTGAGCTCAAGGCGAGCGCTCTACCACTTTTGAGCCACAGCCCCACTTCCGGTTTTTGAGTGGTTCAGTGGAGATAAGAGTGTCATGGGAACCAGGGCTGGTGGCTCACGCCTGTCATCCTAGCTACTCAGGAGGCTGAGGTCTGAGGATCTAGGTTCAAAGCCAGTCTGGGCAGGAAAGTCCGTGAGACTCTTATCTACAATGAACCACTCAGAAAACCGGAAGTGGCACTGTGGCTCAAGTGGTAGAGAGCTTTCCTTGAGCTGAAGAACAGCGCCCAGGCCCAGAGTTCAAGCCCCATGACCAACCAAAAAAAAAAAAAAAAAAAAGAGTTACATGGGGCTGGGAAGGTGGCTCAGTGGTAGAGTGCTTGCCTAGTATGCATGAGGCCCTGGGTTCAATTCCTCAGCACCATACACACAGTAAAAGCCAGAAGTGGTGCTGTGGTTCAAGTGGTAGAGCATTAGCCTTGAGCAAAAGTAGCTCAAGGACAGCACCCTAGGTCCTGAGTTCAAGCCCCAGGACTGGCAAAACCAAACCAAACAAACAAACAAAAAAAAACTCCCACAACCACTTACAAATCCAATCATTTATCTCAAAATCTGCTCCTGGAGGGGTAGGGGCATTGAGAAACCTAAATTGAAGCATGAATGAATCCTGGTAATTAAAGTTCAGCCTCTGGGGGATGAAAGGTAATTAAGTGCACATTTACCTTCTCTTTACACAAGCTTTGGAAAACTCCGTGTGTGTGTGTGTGTGTGTGTGTGTGTGTGTGTGTGTGTGTGTGTGTGTGTGTGTGTGTGTGTGTGTGTGTGTGTGTGTGTGTGTGTGTGTGTGTGTGTGTGTGTGTAGCTTTGCCATCAGACTCACAGGAGAGAAGTTCAGGGCTGGTAATTATGTCAGCCCCAGGGACACCAGGACCACTGACTGGGCTATTTTATCCGAGGAATCCAGGCTGTCAGCTCTGATCACTGGCTGTAGCTGATCGCAGGAATTCACTCGTTCTGCAAATAATTCTCGGAGCTCTGCCTCTCGCGAGAGGCAGTGTGGGGGCAGAGAAGAACAAGTCCTGTCTATCTGCTCTGAGATGCAGCCTGCAGAGAACTCGAGTACACTAATGGATCTGTTTTAGCATGAATGTTTCCAGGTAGTGTTGGGCTGGAGAGGGGTGGATCGTGATGATAATGGCCAGTTTGTGTCTTTTCTTTTTCTTTTTGACAGTCGTGGGGCTTGAACTCTGGGCCTGTGGCGCTGTCCCTCGGCTCTTCAGCTCAAGATGAGCGCTCTACCACTTGAGCCACAGCACCACTTTCGATTTTCTGGTGGTTTATTGAGAGATAAGAGTCTCAGACTTTCCTTTCCTGGGCTGGCTTTGAATTACTATCCTCAGATCTCAGCCTCCTGAGTAGCTAGGATGACAGGTGTGAGCCACCGGCACCTGGCTGATTGAGGGTGATTCTAATGCTCCAGTCTGTCCTCAGAGAAACCCTCACTTCTGGGAGGGGGACAACCCCGCAGGGCGCAGACAGCAAGGTGGTGAGGGGGTGGATGATTGGGGGTGGAGGGGATCCTGGTCCTTTCTTACCTTAGCTTGGAGCAGGGCGCCCGCCTCTGCCCGGTTCTTTTCCGCGTCTCTCTCCCACTGTACTCTGATGGTCTCAAGGATGCCATCTAGACCTGTGACCGAGGGCACGTCCACGCGCTCCAGCTCAGACCCCAGAAGCTGTTTGTACAGCAGTTTCACGTCCTAAAAGAAAACAAACACACATTAGGGGAGCCCTGGAGAAGCAAGAGGAGACCAAATTCTAGCTCACGGCTGGGCGCTGGTGGCTCACGCCTGTCATCCTAACTACTCAGGAGGCTGAGATGTGAGGATCGCAGTTCACAGCCAGCCTGGGCAGAAAAATCCATGAGACTCTCATCTCCCATGAACTACCAGAAAACCGGAAGTGGAGCTGTGACTTAAGTGGTAGAGTGCTCGCCTTGAGCTGAAGAGCTGAGGGACAGCGCCCAGGCCCAGAGTTCAAGTCCCATGACTGACAAAAAGAAAAAAAAAAAAGGATTCTGGCTCTGGACATTTTGTTTTTCTTCTCTGCTATAGCCATAGACAGGCAGTCTAGAGACTAGCAGTACTCCCCCTCTTCTTGATTTATCTACCATGTTCTCTTCCTAAGGGGTGTGTGTGTGTGTGTGTGTGTGTGTGTGTGTGTGTGTGTGTGTGTGTGTGTGTACTGGTACTGAACTCAGGGCCTTGTACTCTCCTTTGGTTGGCTTGCTCAAGGTTGATGCTCTACCACTTGAGCCACGCCTCCAGTCTGGCATTTTGCTGGTTAACTGGAGAAAACAGTCTTTCAGAGTTTGTCTGCTTGGACTACCTCCAAACTGGGATCTTTAGCCGTCAGCCCTCCTGAGCAGCTAGAATTGTAGGAATATACCACTGGCATGTGGCCCTGCCACCCACCCACCCACACACACACACACACACACACACACACACAGAGCTCTGATGCGCCTCCCTGCAGTTCCAGCCTCACCGACCCCCACCCCACCTACCTCTTCATAGCCTTTTGCCAAAAAGCCAAGTTCTTCTTTCAGACTTTCGATCTGACTCTCTAGATCCGTTTTTGCCGAATGAGCTTCATCAATGACTTTGTACAGAGAACTGATTTCCTCCTCTGCGGCCTTTCGGAAGGGCTGTTCATTTTCGTATCTGCGGATAAAGCAACTTCATCAAGCACAGGTGGCTAGCTCGAAGGGAGGGAGGGTGGAAATCAGATTCTAGGTACCACCCAAATGGTGCAACAGATAGCGAGATGTTCCGTCACCGTTCCCACAGGCTTTGGGGACAGCGTGCCCCAGCCATTCCAGGTCATTTACTTTTTGGAGGTGAACCGGGCAGGGGCCGCGGGGCGGCGTGAGGTGTATTGTGTGGACTTTGGGGTGGGGATAAGGATAGGGGGCCAGGGCCTTACCTTTCTTTAAAGTCATCTGCACCCGCCTGGATGGTCTCCAGCTGTAGCATGAGCCTCGCGTGTTCTAACACAGCCTCCCCCACCTGGGTGGACACAGCAGGGCCACAGGTCACGAGGTCATTCACAGGGTGACCAGTGGGGGACTTGGTGGTGGGGCTTGAACTCTGGGCCTGGGCGCTGTCCCTCAGCTCTTCAGCTCAAGGCAAGCTCTCTACCACTTGAGCTACAGCGCCACTTCTGGTTTTCTGGTGGCTCATGGGAGATCAGAGTCTCTCAGACTTTCCTGCCTGGGGCTGGCTTTGAGTTGTGATCCTCAGATCTCAGCCTCCTGAGTCGCTAGGATGACAGGTGTGAGCCACCAGCGCCTGGCTAGAGCATGAACATTTTGACTGTCTACTGTTGTGAATTCTCACAATACTGCACTCAATATATCACAACTCCCTTCCTAGAGAGTGAATGCTGGGCACCTGGTGTAAGAGATCATGCCTTTAATCCCAGCACTCTGGAGGCCAAGTCAGGAGGATTTTGAGTTCAAACCCAGCCTGGAATATATAGCAAAACATAACAGGACACTGCTTCACAAACAACAACAACAAAAACCAAACCCCAAAACATATAGCTGAGCACCAGTTGGCTCTCACCTATCATCCTAGCTACTTAGGAGGCTGAGATCTGAGGATCACGGTTCAAAGCCAGCCCGAGCAAGGAAAGTCCATAAGACTCTTTTTTTTTTTTTGGGTCTGGTCATGGGGCCTGAACTCTGGGCCTGGGCGCTGTCCCTCAGCTCTTCAGCTCAAGGCTAGCACTCTACCACTTGAGCCATAGCGCCACTTCCGGCTTTTTTTTTCCTGCTTATGTGGTGCTGAGGAATCGAACCCAGGGCTTCAGGCATGCAAGGCAAGCGCTCTACCACTGAGCCGCCTTCCCAGCCCTCCATAAGACTCTTATCTCCAATAAACCACCAGAAAACCGGTGTGGCTCAAGTGATAGAGTGCTCGTCTTGAGCAAAACAACTCAGGGACAGCGCCCAGGCCCTGAGTTCAAGCTCCAGGGCCAGCAAAATCCAACCAAGCAGCTAACCAACCCAAACAAAATGGCGGGGAGGGGAGAGGGAGGGGAGAAAGAGAGGGAGGGAATAAATAACTCCCGTGCCAGTGTCATAGCAGCTACCTTAGCAATGTCATCTCCCGGGCTGGCAGCGGAGGAGGAGGAGGAGGAGGAGGAGGAGGAGGAGGAGGAGGAGGAGGAGGAGGAGGAGGAGGCGGGACCAGAGCAGTCAGTCAGCACTGAAGACTGTGCTTTACGTGTGACAGTAATTACACACCAGGCTGAGGGGCTGTAATCTCATCTGGCACTGACAAAGCCCTTACACACTCCTGCTCTAAGGCTGCCCACCAGGATGGCCCAGGAGAGAATCCCCCTCCTTTTTTTTTTTTCTTTTTCTTTTTTCTTGCTGGTCCTGGGTCTTGAACTCAGGGCCTGGGCGCTGTCCCTGAGCTCCTTTTGCTCAAGGCGAGCGCTCTACCACTTGAGCCACAGCATTGCTTCTGGTTTTTTTCTGTGATTAATTGGGAGAGAAGAGTCTCATAGACTTTCCTGCCCGGGCTGGCTTTGAACCATGATCTTCAGATCTCAGCCTTCTGGGTAGCTAGGATGACAGGCGTGAGCCACCAACACTAGACCAGAGTGCATTATTCTGGTTGCTGTTTCATCCTTAGGGAAATGGGAGCTACTGTGGAAATTATGACAGTACAGCCTTGGGGTGGGTTGAGTTATGTGGTTGTCCCTTGAGACCAAAGTGGCTTTGGCCGTGGGGTGACAGCCATCAAATCAAACTTAAGGGAAAAAAAAGAAATGAGCCAGGCACCGGTGGCTCACGCTTGTCATCCTAGCTACTCAGCAGGCTGAGGTCTGAGGATTGCGGTTCGAAGCCAGCCTGGGGCAGGAAAATCTGCGAGACTCTCATCTCCAATACTCAGGAAAAGCCTAAAGTGGCTCTGTGGCTCAAGTGATAGAGTGCTAGCCTTGAGAAAAAGAATCTCAGGGACAACTCCCTAGCCCCCCCAAAAGAAATGGCAGCCCCTCCGTATAATACCTTAATAATAATAAAATTAAAAAGAAGGACACAAAACAGTATTTTAGAGGGATGTGAAATCTGCAGGACTGTGCCTAGAGTGGCCAGCAGGTGGCACTATGGGACAAGAGAATTCAGGCAGAGGCAGCAGTTTGGGGGACCTGCATTACCACCCCCCCATCTCAAAGTGGGCCCCCATCTCAAAGTGGGGAGTCTCTTTGCAGCTGGCCTAGAGAGTATTCTGGGGTTCTTGCTCACAAAGTGGGGGTGCTTCCGTGATACCGGAGGCCCATCCCATGTACCTGGGTTCGTTTTTGCTCAAGGCTACCACTTGACCACTTGGAGCCACAACTCCAACTTCTGGTTTTCTGGTGGTTCATTGGAGAGAAGAATCTCATGGACTTTCCTTGCCAGGGCTGGCTTTGAACCACGATCCTCAGATCTCAGCCTCCTGAGTAGTTGGGATGACAGGTGTGAGCCACCGGCGCCAGATGGCATTATTGTTTTTTACTACATAACTTTCTTCCCCCTATTTAAATGAGTACTTAGCACAGTCAGGTGCTATAATGAACGCTGTAAGTCAATGACAATATATTCGTCCCATAACCATTTGATGGAGTGAATTATTATGTCTATTTTACCAGCCTGAGCACTGAACTGCAGAGTGGCTGAGAGATGTATCTTGGGTAATAGGGTTTGGGCAATGCCAAAGCGTGAATTTAGACTCAATTGTTCCTCTATCTCCCCCGTCTTCTCCCGCTCACCATGCACAGGAACATACTCTCCTAGGCTGGGTATTTGCCTTGCTTTCTGAACCCCAGTCCCTCTATGGGTTGCTTTCTACTGGTCCCTAGCACCACGCCAGCCTCCTTCCTCCAGCCTCCTTGGATAACTATTAGCGAGAGTTCTAGTCAAGCTGCCTGTCGGGGGCTGGGAAGGTGGCTCAGTGGTAGAGTGCTCGCCTCGCATGCATGAAGCCCTGGGTTTGAATCCTCAGTACCACACAAATAGAAAAAAGCTGAAAGTGGAGCTGTGGCTCAGTGGTAGAGTGCTAGCCTTGAGCAAAAAAGCTCAGGGACAGTGTCCAGGTCCTGAGTTCAAGCCACAATACCAACACATACACATGCACGTGTACACACACATGTACATACTCTCTCTCTCTCTCTCTCTCTCTCTCACACACACACACACACACACAATTCATTTCCCAGCTAGGGCTACTTCTGCTTCTGGCTGCCTTAGAAACTCCACCTCCTCTTGTTTGATCTTCATAGTGATCCAAAGGAGAAATTTTTATCTTCCTTATACCGATAAGCAAACCAGCCACAGCTCTTGGTTCAGTGGCATTGTAGCATTGCACCACTCTAACAAGGCAAGGCCACAGGTTCAAACCCCAGTTGTCACCAAACAGATAAAACCTGGCTCTGATCAGGTCCACAATATCTTTTTTTTTTTTTGTCGGTTGTGGGGGCCTGAACTCTGGGCCTGGGCCTGGGCACTGTCCCTCAACTCTTCAGCCCAAGTCGAGTGCTCTACCACTTGAGCTACAGCGCCACTTCCAGCTTTTTCTGCTTATGAGGTGCTGAGGAATCGAACCCAGGGCCTCATGCATGCGAGGCAAACGCTCTACCACTGAGCCACACTCCCAGCCCTTAAAAAAAATTTCTAGATGTACATTTCTCTGTCATTCCACTTCTAAGCCATCTGTGGTGTCCTGTAGTGCTTTGGCTGGCACGGTCCCTGCCCCACGGGTCTGTGCCACCAAACACACTCCATTTAGTAAGGAAGAATACACCCAAGCCAGGTCTCAGGCCTGCAAATTCTAGCTACTGGGAAGGCTGAGATCTGAGCTGGGGGTGGCCAAGAGACCAGCTGAGTGTGTAGTCAACAGACAGAGAGACAAGAGGGGGGTGGCCGAGAGAGAGAGAGAGAGAGAGAGAGAGAGAGAGAGACAGACAGACAGACAGACAGACAGACAGACACACACACACACACACACACACACACACACTTAGGGAGGTGGGATGACCTGGGGTGGGCGTGGCCAACATACAGACCAGAGAGATGGGCGTGGCCTGGAGGTGGGCGTGGCTGACGCAGAGACAAGGGAGGTGGGCCAGGCCTGGAGGTGGGCGTGGCCGGCAGGAAGCCAGGGTCTGAGCCACTGGTGCAGGCAGACAGAGGACCTGGGCGCGCTGCAGAGACCCACGCAGGAAGCAGGGCAGGACCGCAGGCCCCGGCCCACGGGAAGCAAAGCACAAACCTCTGTCACCTTCCCCTGTCCAGAGGACCAGAACCATCAGCTGCAAGCAGCCCGAGATGGAAATAATGGAATCAAATCAAATCAAATCAGATCAAAATACCCAGGCGTGGGTCTCAGTCTCACTGCTGGAGCTCCGAGGTTTCACCCCCCTGTATGTGGGGTGTGTGTGTGGGGGGGGGGGATGGGAGGAGTAGAGGGCAAGGCCCAGCTCTGCACAAAGACTTATGTGAAACTAAACCACCACTATCTATCTATCTATCTATCTATCTATCTATCTATCTATCTATCTATCTATCTATCTATCTATCTCTTTAGATATATATCTCGGTTGTGGGGCTTGAACTCTGGGCCTGGGTGCTGTCCCTCAGCTCTTCAGCTCAAGGCCAGTGCTCTACCACTTGAGCCACAGCGCTACTTCCTGTTTTCTAATGGTTTATTGGAGATAAAAGTCTCACAGACTTTCCTGGCTTTGAACCGTGATCCTCAGATCTCAGCCTCCTGAGTAGCTAGGATGACAGGCGTGAGCCACCGGGTGCCTGGCCACAATCATGATTTTTTTTTAATATATATTGAGTTCACGTGGGAATGATACTTTTGATATATTTCATTAAAGAAGATAGGATATGAATAATACCAACAGCACTGGTTTCTTTTTCACTTGGAAATTGTAAATTTGCTCATCAATGATCCGAGTGGCTGCAGTTCCTCTTGGACACTGCTATTAAGATGATGGAATGAGGCCGGGCGCTGGTGGCTCACGCCTGTCATCCTAGCTACTCAGGAGGCTGAGATCTGAGGATCACAGTTCAAAGCCAGCCTGGGCAGGAAACTCCATAAGCCTCTTATCTCCAATAAACCACTCAGAAAACCAGAAGTGGCGCTGTGGCTCAAGTGGTAGAGCAGTTCAGTTTGAGCTGAAGAGCTGAGGGACAGCGCCCAGGCTCTGAGTTCAAGCCCCACGACTGACCAACAAAAACAGATGACAGGACTGTATCTCTGTTTACCTGTTGTTTTCATCCCATGGAGGTTATCTTCCCATAGAGTCCGGATATGGACTGGAGCCGAGGAAATGGGGGTTCAAATCTCAGCTCCCTCTCCCACATCAGCAGCCCCCCTCCCTGCTCCGTACCACACCCCGGGTCGCCCCTCTCCCGGAGGTTAACCCTACCTGTTGGCAGCTGCTGCTCCACGAAGCCCGCAGGGCGTCCCAGCCTCCCGAGCGCTTGGCCTTGCTCTCCAGGTGCGTGCGCAGCTGTGTCTCCAGCTCCTGGCTGATCTGCTCCAGGGCATGCACTTTGGCTATATAATCCACCAGGCAGCCCCCCAAGTCCTCCACCTCACGGTGGTCTCTTTCCAGGCCAGGGGCCGCTACCGAGGTCAGCCCTGAGCTCCGCAAGCCCTGCAGGAAGACACTGCTGATCCCCAAAGCCCGGCGGGTGACTCGGGCCCCCAAACCCCCTGTGTACCCACTGGGGGCGGTCCCCACATAGACCCCAGGGGCCCGGCCAAGGCTCCCCATGATGCCTGTCCTGGAGGCTGGGGGGCTGTCCAGAGAAGAGGGGGGCCTTGTCCCCCTAAGGGACGAGGCCCTGCGTCTCTGGAGAGGCAAATCAACCACCACCCTCTTCTCGCTCATCTCTCTCTGTCTCTGTAGCTGCCACCCCGGCTTTCCCAGCCCCTGATCCGTCCTCCCCCCCCCCCCCCCCGCTTCCCCCGCCCCCATGGTGTCCTGGTCACGAGTCTTTCTAGAAGCTTTCCCCCATGTCCCGAGGCTCTTTGTCTTGCTGAGGTCCATGAGTTTCTGTCATCATTCACTCAGCTGAAAAGAGGAGAGGCCGGCCAGGCACACTGGGCATTGTCTGATGGCAGGGTCACATGTCCAACCTTCCAGATTGTTCTGAGGGGGGGGGGGGGGGGGGAGATGGGAAAGGGCTGGGTCAAGCCCAGGCCCTGGGAGGGGATGCCCTGGGTTTTATGAGTTTCACCTCCTAAGACAGCAAAGCAGATGCAGAGCTGTCCCATTTCACAGGCCAGTAAACTAAGGCTCAGGGAGCAGAAGGGGCAAAGTGTTGTAATTGTGCCTCCTGCAGCTCACATCTCAAGCTGGGACTCCACGGAGGGAGTTCAAGTTCAAGTCCAGGGCCTCTCGCATCCTTCCATGGGGTGGCATGCATCCAAAGGTGCAAACAATGGAGGGGACATCAGATGTGGGTCCCCCTGCCCCATACACCCTGGGGTTTGAACTCAGGGCATGGGCACTGTCCCTGAGCTTCTTTTGTTCAAGGATAGTGCTCTACCACTTGAACTCCAGCACTACTTCTGGCTTTTTCTTGGGGAGGGGCTGGCCAGCTGGCTTCAAACCACGATCCTCAGATCTCAGCCTAAGATTACAGGAGTGAGCCATGGGTGCCCGCCCGGCTGACTTCAACGTTCTTTTAAAAATGACAAGAATGAGAAGAATACAAACTGTATTAGGCACATAATCCTCTGGGTAATAAAATAAGTTTATTTATATATACATGGTAACTGAATTCTGTGGGTATGGAAAAATAAATCATACATCCACAAATGTATATATAACATATGTATCTCTGATGACATATATTATATATAAATTTTACATTTACAAACAGAGATCTCTCTCTTTCTCTCTGTATATATACTCACACACATATCAATAACAGTCCATGTAACAGCAAACAGAAATATCACGGTAAGGTTATGAAGATCGAACGGCGACATTGAACCTGCTTCTTTGTGGGTTGAAGCCTTTGGAGAGGGATGAACAGCGACCTCGTGTGAAGTCGGTGCGTACAACACTGAGAACACAGCGTTTTCGGAAAAGCCATCTCTCATGTTACAAAGCAAAATGGAAAGTCATGGTAAGACCGCCTACAGCCGTGACACAAATGTGAGCCAACATTCAAATTCCATTTCCCAATCTGACCGTAAGAACCTCTATATTCAAAATAGACTATCAAACTATTATTATTTATTATTTTTCTTTTAGAGATAGGAAGAGTCAAAGCAGTTACATTCTTTCCTAACTGCTATTTGTTGGGGAGGGTAGAGGTGGGGGGCAGGGAGGTAGAGAAGTAGCTGCCTTTCGGAGCCCTTCTGGCGCCTCTGAAAGTCTGACCCCTGGTGGCTATGGTGGAGATAACAGGGACCGGGAAGGTGGCGCTGGTCCGGGGTGGGGGGAAGCAGGGGAGGAGAAGGCTCAGCAGCTGGTTTGTGGTGCTTTCTTTCAAGCCATCAACTCTGGCCATCTGGTTTTGGTAGGATGGCAGAGGGCGGTGTGAAAGGTGATTTTTATTCTCCCCTTTGCCAGTACTGGGGCCTGACCTCAGGGCCTTAGCTTTTTTTTTTTTTTTTTTGCTCAAGGATGGCACTCTACCACTTGTACACAGAACCATTGGTATTCTACCATTTCCTTCCTGGTTTTTTTTTTTTTTTTGCTGATGAACTGGAGATAAGAGTCTCAAGGACTTTTCTGCTGGGACTGGCTTTGAATTGTGATCCTTGGATCTCGGCCTCCCTGAGTAACTAGGATGACAGGCATGAGCTACCAGTAGCGTTGCTAAAAGTCCCGATTTTATACTTTAAGATTTAGCCGAGCTAAACCCAACACCCAGAGGACATAATACCATCATCTTTGGAGCTACAAAGCTAAATCGCCCTTAAGAAGAACAGGCAAGGGGCTGGGAAGGTGGCTCAGTGGTAGAGTGCTTGCCTTGCACGCATAAGGCCCTGGGTTCGATTCCTCAGCATCACATAAGCATAAAAAAGCTGGAAGTGGCACTGTGGCTCCAGTGGTAGAGCATTCGCCTTGAGCTGAAGAGCTGAGGGACAGTGCCCAGGCCCAGAGTTCAAGCCCCATGACCGACAACAACAACAAAAGAACAGGTAAGTATTATTTCATACAAATAGGGGTGCTTCCTCAAGAGACCTCTGCCTTCACCTGCTCTGGGCTCCTAGAACCCCAACCCCCCCAAGAGATGCAATCAATTACAACTGCTTTGATTAGAAATACCTTTATTATTATTTTTTTTTTATAAAGCCATGGGTCATTCTGCAAAGATTTTTGTTTTGTTTTTTTCATTTTGTTTTAAACCACACTTATAAAAAAGATGTCGACAATTCTCAGGAGGAAAAAAAAAAGCTGAAAATGTTTCTCATTAAGTCAAGATTACACAAAGGTTATGTTTATAATATATATATATATTTGTATATTTATAATTTTAGAGACGAAAATAAAGCAGTGGTAAAGCGAAGGCTGTTGCAGTTAGATCTCAGAGACTTGATCATTTCCTACAAATAGCGTTTCCTGACAGAAGGGGTTCACAAGGACCATCCCAGTGTCCCTGTAGTCGCCGTTGGCAGGGGAACGGGGCTCCGAGAGCTGGTCCTGGGAAGAGATGGAGACCATGTTCTCAGCCCAAGTGGGCGGGGAGCACACATGGAGCATGCGCAATATGGTGGAATGAGGACCATGCCTGGGTGATCAGGACAGTGTCCCCCATATATCCACTAGCTCTTCCAGCATCACGAGCTCAGGGAGTTTTTCTTTTCTTTTTTCTTTTTTGTCGGTCGTGGGGCTTGAACTCTGGGCCTGGGCGCTGTCCCTCAGCTCTTCAGCTCAAGGCCAGCACTCTACCACTTGAGCCACAGCGCCACTTCCAGTTTTCTGGTGGTTGATTGGAGATAAGAGTCTCACAGACTTTCCTGCCTGGGCTGGCTTTGAACTGCGATCCTCAGATCTCAGCCTCCTGAGTAGCTAGGATGACAGGTGTGAACCACTGGTGCCCGGCCAGCAGTATTTCTCTTAAAACAATAAGGACCCTAGCGTGTTGGGAGGCAAATGGTGATAAAATCCACTTTGAAGTCAAACCAAACTTTTGGCTATGGGGTTTGTGGCTGAGCTCCTCCAGTTAAGTTTCTTTCTTTCTTTCCTTCTTTTCTTTGACTTCCTTCCTATTTTCCTTTCTTTCTTTATTCCTTCCTTCCTTCCTTCCTCTTTTGGGTCAGTCATGGGGCTTGAACTCCGTTTCAAGGCTAGGCCTTTACCACGTTTGAGACACAGAACCACTTCCAGCTTTTTCTGTGTATATGGTGCTGAAGAATCAAACCCAGGGCTTCATGCATGCTAGGTGAGCACTCTACCACTGAGCCACCTTCCCAGCCCCTGACCCTGGTGTGTGAGTGACACTTGGGTTCAGGCCCCAGAATCTGAGACCCCCTGGGAGCGAGCTTTGCTCTCCATGGTCCTCCATGCTGGGGCTGCATTGGATCCAGGGATCTTCCTTCACCCTGCCCACCCCCCTCCACCCACCCTGTCCTGGCCCCCAGTGGAGGAACCGTGTGTGTGTGTGTGTGTGTGTGTGTGTGTGTGTGTGTGTGTGTGTACCTGGCCAGTACCTCCCCGGCTGGATTACCTCTGATGTCTCCAAGGACTGGATCTCCCTGGGCAGCTCCACGGCATGCCTGTTGAAGTAGTCCATGGTGATGGCGTTGTTCCAGTAGCTCAGGTTGTTCTCGGGGTTGGCCGTTTTCTTCTTTCTCCTCATGCAGCACACGGTCAGCAAGATGGCTGTGGAGACAGGCCAAGTCAGAGGAGGAAGGCCGACGAGGGGGGGGGGTGGCAGCCGCAGCAGCAGCAGCTAGCCGGGCTGGTGGCAGCAGTCAGCCGCTAGGGGGAGCTGTGGAGGTCCCCGGTTCTATTATACGGGTGATGTATGAGGGGCTACAGTCACACCAATGGTTTGCGCTTTCCGTTCCTCTCTGTATCCTCGCCACCCTTCGCCCCTGCTTTCCTCCAAGTGTGGTAAGCAGGGGGTGCAGAGTGGGTCAGACCTCACACACCATACGATGAAGAAAGGAGGAGAATCAGAGAGCAGTAACTATCCAATACAAATAAAGTGGCCAGGACACCTGGCCTCCCAGCTACTCAGGAGGCCGAGATCTGGAGGATCATGGTTCAGGAAATGTCCATGAGACTCTTCATAAACTCCAAGGAACCACCAGAAAGCTGAAAATGGAGCTGGGGCTCAAGTGGCAGAGTGCGAGACTGGAGTACAATAGCTCAGGCCCTGAGTTCATGCCCCAGGTACCACACACACACACACACACACACACACACACACACACACACACACACACACCACACACACACACACACACACACCACACACACACACACACACACACACACCACACACACCACACACACACACACACACACACACACACACACACACACACGGGCACCAGCGAGGGCTTCATTGAGGCGATGCTCTTAGGGCAAGGAGCCACTTGAGCCTTCTTATTTGGTTTTTCAGATACACTTTTTCTCTCCCCTTTACTTTGCCCACACTAGCTTCGAACCATGACACCAGTGGATGGGATTACAGGTACGCACTACTGTGCCTGGCTTCCGGCATTCTCCTTTTATAGATGAGAAACCTGGGACCAGTGAGCGGACATAGTGCCTGCAGGAGGCTGGGCAGGGAGACAAATGGGACATCTTCTGTGGCAGCTGAGGGAGGAGTCAGCAGGGAGGACTGGGGGTGGGGGGTGCAGTGAGGCTAGGCTGGCCCGGGGAAACTAGGTTGGATGTAGAGAGGGAGAGACAGGGGC